CAGAACCAGGGCACTAACCCTAACCAGAACCAGAACCAGGGCACTAATCCTAACCCGAGTGGAGGCAGTGAACCACCACACTCCCGTGCTGACCTCAGCCCATTACATTTGTTTTCAAGACTGGGCCTGAGTATCTAGTCTGTTCATTTAGAATAATTTGTTTCAATGCAGTTACTAATGAGGAGACTGTTGCATCTTGAAAATGTGAAAACCATAATGTGGTTTTAGTTTCAGGATGACCGAGATTTGGATGTGGTGTGGCACTTCAGAAGTTTGCAAAAAACTCACTCATTTCTGGAGGACACAAAGGAAACTCCAACATAGTCGAAGAAGCTTTAAAAGCTTTACAGAACATGAGTTAATCTGAGTTAAGTTAGAGTTGTTAAACCTCATGGTTTATGTACCTCTTTAAGGATGGAGTAAATATTCCAAAGTCCGGTTTTTTTCCAGTGTCTTCTCAGTAGTCAGAGAGATTTAGGATCAGCAGAGCAGCTCGAAAATGTGGTGCCTCATGGTGACCTCCCTCATAAATCTGTCCCTGAGCAGACTGGTGTTCCTTTTAGATACTTTTAATGTTTATCTGTGCAGACATGCACAGGGGTGTGTCACATGCATGTCAATTTCTGCACATTTGGCTGAGACTACTTTCAGCCTGACTGCTGGCCAGTGATGAGTCAAAGAGCCCTATGATGTACCTGTAAAAAGCACTTCTGCTTCAAAGTAACCTGATGTCAACATGATGTCTTTGAAGTGTCACCACAGGAGGAGGCGGCCATTACACCAACACGTACAGTGACAAATAACCACTTTGTCTCATAAAGCTTTTATGTAGGGAATCTATCGTTCCCCTTTAGCTCCATTTAAAGCTGCTCCTCCTGAGGAACTCTAACCATCTAATGTATGCACATAACCGTATTTACAGGCCTTTGATCTTTAACTGACAACTCAAAATGAGCTGCATGCAGGAGCCTCTCTTTATGGAACATGGACAGGTTTTATTCATTACCTCCTCCTTAAAGAACCTGGATGAAATTCAATTCTGAAACTGATTAACAAGTTTGTCTTCAAAGATTTCTAATGCATGACAACTAAGATTTGTACAGAAAGTGTGCAACATACAAACCTGATTCTGCACGGGAAAAAAAGCAAAAGTGAGAGAAGCTGAGTTTGGATTGAGGTGATATGATTGTAATGTTGGAAAACTGCAGGAATGCTTTATAAAGTCCGGACTCCGAGCTTAATAGGATTTTATGATGAAAGATGAACACAACATTGATGGTGAGGGAAACAGTCCTTGTAGTAAATACCCATTAATTTTGATTAGAACAGACACCCAGCTGTTAAAAGTTTGGCAGGATGTTATACAACTGCTATGATTAGCAAAAACGCTTCCTGAAGCCCAGACTCAGGTGCCTGAGACACAGGCTTAAAGAGAGGAAAGTCTACCTCTTACAGGATACCGGCAGCAGCGTGTTTGATGACCTGGGGTACAAAGGCAGGTCCGGATTTGGGGACCTGGTGGAATGTTTTATGGCTCTAGACCTGAGAAAAAGGTACCAAGAACTAGACCACTCATTTCTACCATCATCTTACAGATCTCAGAAAAGATGATTTCCTACTGTCCCTACTGTTTCCTAATGCTTCCTGCCTGTTGGCTACAACATTGATGCTGTATGGAACAGTAAAAAACTAAGATTGAATGTGGAGTTCTAACAACTAAATGTCAGAACCTTTGGATCTGTTCACATTTCATTGATACTTCAGTGTGGCTGGCCTCCTGCTTGTCATTTGTTGTGGGATCTCACAGAACCTGAAGCTATGAGCTATGACTGCTATAGTTACATCCAGAGAATTAACCCCTTCAGTTATCCTCACTTTTCCTCCTTTAGATATCATTTGGTTGCCATTCTGATTCTAAAACACTAACCCTATGACCAAACATCCATTCCCAGAGATATTTTCTTGCTTTAGATCGAGGGTTACATCAAAGAGAGTATGAAGAGAGAATTGGCTCACCTGCAGCAGAGCGCTGTCCACAACCACACTGCAGCCATGTTGGAAATGGGAACCAACCTTCTCTCTCAGACAGCTGAACAGACACGCAAGCTAACCGATGTTGAGACACAGGTAAGAACTTAGAAATACAGACTGATTGTTAGACTTTCAAACTTCTTTAGACAACATTAAAAATCTGTATTCTAGACTATTACGAAATAAAATAACAGATTTTGCATTTGACAAATTATATCTAAATTAATCCAGTTTCAGTTCCATGTTTCTTAAGTATTTAAAGAGCCTAAGAGCTTAATGTTGTATATATTTGTGCTTTCTATTGTAGGTTCTTAACCAAACTTCCAGACTTGAGATTCAGCTCCTGGAAAACTCACTTTCCACCAACAAGTTGGAGAAACAACTAATGGTCCAGACCAATGAGATCAGCAAGCTGCATGATAAAAACAGGTTAACACACAACACAACTTGAGAAATTTGAAGCGAATCCAGAAAAGACATACACAAAAATAACATTCCTTACTCAATACCCGTAAACCCCCTGATATAGCATAAACAAAGAGCGTCCTCCTAGCTTCCATTGATTTTTTTATTTTTTTCTTTGAAACATTTGGATGTTTTTCTTCATCCCCTCCAGCCTTTTAGAGACAAAGATGCTGGATATGGAAGTGCTCCACCATGAAGAGCTGGAGATGTTGAGGCAGGAGAAGGAGAGTCTCCAGGCCTTGGTGGGGAGGCAGAGTGGGGTCATCAGGGAGCTGGAAGCCCAGCTGAGCCAGGCCACAGGAAACAGTTCCGCCCTGCAGAGACAGCAGCAAGAGATGATGGAGACTGTCCAAAACCTGCTCAACCTCTGCTCCAAAGATGGAGGTATGCTGATGGAGGGCATGCACCAAGTGTTCTTCATAACACAAAGTGTCAACGTTGTCTTCCAAAATGTTTTTTAAGAATGGGAATGTTCTGGCATCTTCTACAGGGAGACTGAGACCCCATAAACATGTTTTTCTTTCACTCACAAGTAATAACTGGCATAATGAGAATGATGTGCGCAGGTGCATGGCACTTTGCCATGGCACACATTTAGGAATCGTCTCTCTGATATCCAAAGAGATGTGGCATAGCTAACCTTAAAATCACTTCCAGCAGCTGCCAGTTGCTCAGAAATGAAAATGTGGATAGGTTGCCTCTTCAATGTTGAAGTGTGTGGTGGCAAATTTGTTTTCCACAACGATCTGACACGGTCGGATAGTGGATCTTTCCCAACTTTGACATTTCCAACAGAACAAAGAAAATAGATAGCATCTTTATTTTATATGTACTGACAAAATATAATATTATTTAAAAAATGTTGTCCATCCTGTATAATTCTGTCAACTTTTCTATCAAATTCATGCTAATACCCAGTTGCTTTAACTTCCATCTATAGTCAGGTTGGGTTCAGTAGGGATCTCTATGACATTCTTGCTACGGTCCATAATTGCTGAACCCACTTTCAGGAATTCAAATAAACTGAATCCCTTTAAATAAAAGTTTTCTTGATTTTATTCCACGAAGAACATAAATCGTTGCAGAAAGCAGGGTGAAAACTAAGAGATTCTCAAAAATAACAAACGAAATCTCTATGAGAACACAGGCAGAAAGTCTCTGCACGAAGTGTCTGTGGACAAAGGCACAGGAAAAAGGTAACCACAGAAACCACACTGCATAACATTGACCAAAAAAAAAGTCCAATACAAAAACTACTTTGGCTTGAGCAAATGAACCAGAACTATCAAGCTCAAGCTCACAGGCTCAGACCTAAGGATGTGAATTATCTGGCAACGTGATGGTGAACCTGGCAAACTTTTACACCAAGGTGACAGATAATCCTCAGATGCCTTCAGGGACCAACTGATAAACTGACAAGAGAAAAAAGTTCAGAAGATAATAGTTCTTCTGCTTTTCACTTTTTAACCCTAACCCTAGTATCAGAGAAAAAGTTCAACTATAAACACAGGCCCCACTGAGCTTTACATGACCGCCCCACTGAGAGAGAGTCCCCACTGCACTGCTAAATATTTCAATAGCTAGGAGGACAACTATGAGGACAATAATATTTGTGGAGCTCAGCAGTCAGTTGTTCCAGGTTTGGAACAGCCAGGGAATGTTGTTCCTCAGCAGATGGCTGTTTTGCACAAGAGGAGATTTCAGAAACTATTATGAAATAATTGTTCACACTGTTACAGATCAAATGCCACAACTGTCCTCTCAGACTTTCATATGAAGGTCTGCCAGCTAGGGCTGCCTGGCTCTGAAGTTGGGTTGGACTCTGTAAACCCCTTATCCTACACACATTTTTTTCCAGTAAAAACACTCATCAGGTTCTCAGTCTCTGATCCCTGAAGATTCTGCCTCTCGTTCTGCTTTTGGGATCAACTGGAAGCTTTTCACTGATTTTTGGAGCAGAAGAATAATAAAGAATTACAGCAGAATCATCCCCATGGAACCGATGCACAGAGCAGTTTTTTTTTTTGCATAATTCTGAAACGGATCCTCCTCATTTTGGAGATATTAGGAAGGAAAGGGAAGGCAATCCCAGAACATGTTTGATATGACAGTCAGAGGACAGATTCTGCTCAGAAAACACTGATGTTCCACTCTGTAGGACTAAAAATGAAGAAATGCCATCCAGAGAAACCATAAAACTAAACAGTTCCTCCCTGAAATGCTGAGCTCCAAATACACAATTTCAGTTTGTCTGTATTCAGGAGGATAAAATTCAGACATCCAGCTCTTTACATCTTTGGGACATGCTGGGCATTCTGTGTCAATCATCACAAAGTTTGGCTTTAGCAATTTTGGGGTGTGATCTTTTGACCTAAAGTTTTTAAGTAAAGGTACATAAGCTATTTACGAAGAGAGGTTGATCCAATGTGAGCTACGTGTGAACTCTAAGCTCTGTTGGGCTTTTTTCCCCCGAGTGTTTGACTCTTTGCAGTGCTTTGAAAAGTTTCTATTCCCTATTTTGTTGGGCCTTATGCCTCATTCCACAGACAAAATATTATAACCCTGTAATCATATCTGTTTTGTGTGTCCATTCACAGTTGTTCCAAATGGTACGAAGACCATGACTGAGGAGAAGAGGTTTCGTGACTGTGCAGACCTTTACAAAGCTGGCTTGCATAAGAATGGTGTTTACAACGTACAGATAAATTCAGATGAGAACAAAAAGGTTGGAGCAACAAACCTGTACACCTCAAGCTTGATTTGATCCCATTATTGGTTATCACTTCTTCTTATTTCTCTCAATTTAAGTGAAAGGAGATAATCTTACTACAGACTCTGCATGGAGTGAGCCTTTGTGTGTAAAGGATGCGGTGTGCTTTGCAGAATGACTGAACTCCAAAGATAGACCCTATGCTTTAAATGAACAGGTAGTGAATCATCTGAGGCTGGTGACAGCCGTTGAGGGTTCTGTGTGAATATTTGGAGGGATTGACCAAATGATGCTCCCCTGATGGATGCGAGGGCTCATTTTAGCACATTAGTGGATGTTGTACTTACTGTTTAAGGCACTCAATTAGAACAGAGCAAAATGCAACTTTAATCTTTAATTCACTGTTTATTGGGACCTGCATTACTGACCACTCTATAAAGCCTTCAACAAAATACATTTAGGTCAACTTTATCTGTTCTACCTTTAAAGATTAGATGCACCTCTTATAATGTTTGTATGAAATAGATTTGTATGAGGGGTCATGTGTGTTCAGCTGTGGACGGACCCTCCACAGTGCGGAGGTTTCAGCCTACAAACACACAGCTACAATGCAAATCCAGCAACAGCGCTGCATTTTCAACTTACACTCAGAGGTCAGAGGTTGAGGCTGTATAGCATGACGGTATCAGATGGTAGCTGTTAGGACCAGATCTCCACTGTAAGGCTTCACAACAGGAATTGTTAGTGTGGTGGGAGGAGATACTGATTAACTGTGAGAAGGGCACTGACACTGCAGAACAAAGAACAAAAAAAAACAACACCCTGTTTTTGTCCATAAATGCCACTGAGACCCATGTTGAATTAATCATTTTATTAGTTAGTTAGTTAGTTTTGTCAAGGTTAGACGAAAAAACAAAGAACTTGCGGGTCCAATAGAGTTTTTGTACCTGAACATTGAACAGTTTCCCACCTCTCCTTCCTATCCTTCTCCACCGTGTAGGTGTACTGCAACATGGAGACAGCTGGTGGAGGATGGACAGTCATGCAGCGCAGGGAAGATGGAAATGTGGACTTCCAGAGAACCTGGAAAGATTACAAGATGGTGAGATGTGTTTTAATTCAACTCCAGTTTTCTTAACTGGACTTCCAGAGATAGGATAAGTTTCAGCAAACAGAGGCCGTGTGAAAAGCACCATTTGGGAAACCAAGCCTTTAATCTGGGCGTTTGAGACTTTTTTTAGGCTATTATTGTTATTTTCTTCTGCCAGTAAATCATTATCTAAAACCAAAATCCAATTAGTCTGACCTGCCGTTGCCAGATGCTTCATGTGTTCATCATGATGGAGTGATAAAGCCCATTTCAATCCAGTATTTTAACTTGTTTAACTGTATCTGGGTTAGGGGTTAAGGCTAAATTCCTTCATCACATTTCACATCTCCTGGTTGTTAGTTATGTTCATTTGGCTTCTTAACACCTTTGTCCGTTTTCATAGTCATCTTTTTTTTAAGCCACTTTCAACATACAATTAATCAGCTAACTCGAAGGAAAATTGTTGTTCATTGTAAGTCGATCCAAAATACAAGTGTGTTGATATTTATTGCAAACAATGAGCTGGAAAAGAAGGGGGGAAAGCAGCCTATAAAGTAGGAACCAGTAAGAAATGTATGCAGACAATCTGGCTCTGAACAGGTGTACACAGAAAGTGCACGAGGTGCCGGTATATGAGTGTGCACATACAGCCCTTGGCTGACATTTACACAGCATTACTGGAAGTCTCCTTGGAAAGACTGAAGGTGACTCATGGGTAGTATGAGATTACTGCTCTTATTCCTGATGTCCTGAGCCTTATTTATATGGTTGGTGTGGTCACATAAAATCTGTATTCATGCAGCCTGCTGCCACTTCCAAACTGCAATGTAAACTCAAGGGTTAGGGTTAACAGAACAACCCTATAACTAGAAATGTAATAGTCTAAATAGAAAACACGTTCAGGGTGGGACCTGTACCTGCTTATTCCAATGTGGGCTTACTGACCCCAGTAAGTCCAGCACACTCTCTCTCTTCTGGTCATTATCCAGCTGCCTAACATGCATGTTTTTGGACTGTGGGACTGACGCATACATGGAGAGACCCCCTTACAAACTTCTACACAATGGCAAGTCAGACTGATTAGTTTGAGTCATAGTACTGCTCTAAGCCTTTGTACCAAGGCCAGACGAGGATGGAAAATGCATTGACAAAGTAATCCAGCGGCACAGATGCAATTTAAAGGGTGAATAAAAAACTGAACTACAATGAATTAGAACTTCACTTCCAGTTTATTCCAAATGTTCCAGTGTTGAGAAAAGTAAAAATAATGAGTTACAAAATGAGTTCCTGGACTTATTTTCATATGAATTATTTCTTATCTTGTGAATCATCCCAGGGTTTTGGAAGCGTATCGGCGGAACACTGGCTGGGAAACGAGTTTGTTTATCAGCTGACGAGCCAAAAGCAGTATGCCCTACGAGTGGAACTCACCGACTGGGACGGACACCTCGCTTTTTCGCTGTACGATCGCTTCCAAATCGGCAGTGAGAAACACAACTATAGGTAATGTTGTTCATTCTGGCAAATACATCTTGAGGCTGAGACACGTGCAGGATGGCCTGAAATATTCTGTGGAAATATTTCCAATAGTTTCCCGTTTTTTTTTACCCGACAGCCAGCTTCCTCCTCAGATCAGCCTCTGACAGCTACCAGCGGCCTTCTGTGATTCGATAATCTGCTCAAAACATCAGGATTAAATCATTAACTGTCTATCATACAGTCCACAAAAAACTAAATTCAGACAGGTAGACAGACCTTTACTGATCCCAGAGGAAATAATGATGAAAAAAACCTCTCAGATTCTGTTGTTTTCTCTGGATGTTTGTCTCCAGCGAAATGAGTCTTCATCTGCACAACAAGCTCATAAAACAAGCTCATCCATTTCTGTGGAGTGTCAAAATCAAATACACGTTTAAGTTTAGGCTTTTTCATAAAAGTCAGTTAACTCTCATTTTCACTGATTTATGATTCTGAGGTGTGTGCCTGGGTTCTAGACTTATTTCAATAAAATTAATGTGTTTTCATTAATTTTAGGTTGTTTTTGGTCAGACATAACCTATTCTTTAACTTTGAAAAACAAAGACCAAAAAGGAACAAATCATTTTTATGTTATATTCTCTTTTTTTTTTTTAAAGAAAGTCTTTGTACTCGGCAAAGCAGAGGACATCCCAGGCTGTTTCGGCTTGCTTTGGATGCAGGCTCTCACAGTTTCAGTCTAACATGCTGAGCTCTATAAATAGATTTGTTCTTGAAAAGTAGTTGTGGTATGACAATGATGCATTGCTCCAGAGACACAAACCAAAACAAATCACTAGCCAAGGCCCCAAGCAACAGCACTGCTACATTCTCTGTTCTTTCTCATTTGGAAACTTCCTGCGTAAATATGTTAAATTCTTTGCGGTGCAGATGTAATTACTGTGTCGAAACTTGAGATGGTTTTGAGTCACAGAACCTTTGTTTTTGTTGTTTTAAGTTAGTGGAATGGGTTAGCAGGAGCAGAAACCAGACAAACATTAAGAATGCTGTTTATGTGTCTTTTTTAGTCCGAACATCAAAGTAAACCAGGCCCTGGGACAGTAGGCAGAATTACAATCCAATTATTCACCATTTATCATCATTTTCATGCACATTGCAGCCAGGAAGGTTTCGGCTTGCAGTTGGAACTAGTCAACCACAAACAAAACGCTTAGTCAGTAGACGGTTAAAGGTCTGCTTTTGTTCATTAAGTCAGGGGTTACCAAAACTTTCAGCCCATGACCCCCAAAGTAATGGTACAAGTGACTTGCCACCCCCCCACTATAAATGTATTGAAATGTTGCGCGCAACCGCACATGCACTGTCTGCATCCAGACACGAGCAAAGTAACACCACCGCCATAATTTAAACAGTGATTTACTCCTTACTTTATTTGAACTTAACCTGGTGAGCATGCTTGGAGCACAGCAGCTCCAGTCTGGGTCTGATGGTGGAAACGCTACTCGGAGGTCAGCTTCCACATGCAGTCGCCATCTGGAGTTATTTTGAAGGTACATCAGTGGCAAAAAAGTCTTTTCACACAAGCGTGTAGTGCCAAACGGCATCAGCACATCCAAAGGCTCCCTGGATAGCTGTGGGTTCCCTCTCAGATGCAATCCAAAACTCAGCCGGCGTCTTAGAATTAAACAATGTCGTCAAGGTTGGGTCACTTGACAGTTCCCTCTTCTTTATTTGCTTGGTTTTCTTGTTAAATGTAGCCACCAGTTTGACCTTGTGTTAAAATCATTGCTAACACATGCTATTTCTAACAGTTTTTAAATGTTTTATTTTATTCCTGGATGTCAACTTGCGACCTCCCTGTGTGTCCCGACCCCCACTTTAATAATAATTTTTTTCTAGGTGTTGTATTTTGAAATCGTAACTCTCCTCTTCTTTGTGGTCACTTGCTCTTCCCTTTGTGCCAATAGTCTGTCTTCCCTAATTCCTAATTGTGTCCACCTGTTCCTCGTTTCTCCTTTTGTGCACTAGTACTTTAATAGATTATGGGAAGAACAAAACTTTTAAAAAAGCACATTAATTCATTCATTTATTTTATTCATTTAAAAACTAACTTTCTTTTACTTAAATCCTGGTAACCACAATTTTTTGGTCTTCATGTTTATCAGACCCTAACCGTTCAGACTTTCCTGTCTTTCAGGTTGTTCCTGAAAAGCCACAGTGGGACTGCTGGGAGACAAAGCAGTCTTGTAATCCATGGGGCTGACTTCAGCACCAAGGACATGGACAATGACAACTGCATGTGCAAGTGTGCGCTCATGTTAACTGGTGGTAAGTGAAGCAGTGTGTAACAGTTACAATGATATGTCAGAAATGATAAAATAGTTGCTGATTTACATGCCAACACAAGCAAAATGGATATATCAAGATACAGGATTGTTTTGGACACGAATCACCATTTATTGTGACCAACTATATGAATTTGAATGGTTGATCATAATGTATACTAAGCTTAGAAAGACCAAAGGGGCTGTGCTATCAATTAATAGATAAATAAATGTTCATGTCGGTGGTAAATAAATTTGAGCATTTAGTCATCAACCTGGAACCGTCCAAAACCCTCGGTTTGACCTTACTCGGTTGCTACCGAGCCTGGATGATCATTTGCCCAATTACAGCTGGGATAGGTTCCAGCCCCCATGACCTAAAGTTGTAAAAAAGCGGGTATAGAAAATTGAGAGATGGGGGCCGCAGCCGCAGCCTAATGGCTAGAGCGGGCGGCCCATATTAGAGCCTCCGCTTGCATGCGGGCGGCCTGGGTTAGATTCCAGCCCTCTCTCTATCTCTGACCCCTTTCCTGTCAAGCTACTGTCATTAAAGAAAAAAAATCATTAAAAAAAAATAAAAAGAAAATTGAGAGATGGATGGAATAATATAAAAAGAAAATGTTGTTTAAAAAAAAAAATTAGTGTACTCTGAATGACCAACATTTTTCTTCAATTTTTAGTGTCAAATTTGAACACATTTTTTGGGCCACTATTACATTTCAGGGAAATTGTTTAATGTTTTGTGAGGATTTTGTCATAACCCTCTGACATCTTGGTGAATCTTACACATATCTACGTTTCTTTAAATAGAAGCTACAAAAGTGTTAAATGAACTCAGTCACCCTAACACATTGAACAGATAGCATGGAAATAATAGTTGAAGTTATGCCAAGGCTTAGTGGGTAAAGGCCTTGGGAAGCTCACAACTTATCTTGGAGGTGAATTTCAGTGGCTTGACAGTACTGAACGATATATTCTCAACCTTGTTTATTCTTTTGATCTTCAATGACATGATGTCTTAATCTAATTTTAGGAACTCTTGTTAATTTAAGTTCCTTATCCTCCTTTCAGGTTGGTGGTTTGATGCTTGTGGTCCATCAAATCTTAATGGAATGTACTTTACCCAAGGACAACACATTGGGAAGTTAAATGGAATAAAGTGGCACTACTTCAAGGGTCCCAGCTATTCACTTCGAGCCACAGCTATGATGATCCGACCGTTGGACTTCTAGTATTTTGAACTTCTGAATCATTTACATTTTTGGTAGCCTCATAATACATTGGGGGCACCCACCTTGTTTAATTTACTTGTCTCATCTCACTTTTAGTCAACATGAAAGCCTTGAATTTGTTTAAATTTGTTTCAACCTGATCCTGTTCCGGAGTTGCTGCATCCCTGTTGCCTTGGAAACGGCAGCAGTGGGCAGAGCAGGGAATGGTATGCTTGAACTGATCTGTTCCAACACAGATTTATAAGTTTAACATGAAAAAATATTTCACATTGTAAAAAATGAAGGACATCTGGTAATGGTTGGTCCTTATAATTGTTTGTGACTTTAGTTTAGTTGGTAAAGATGTGAATTTTTTAAGTATATGCATTGCCATCAGCTCATAAAAGTTGCATTAATGTTTGGTGTTTTGATTTTGCTCTTTTGTTTTTTTATCTGCGGATCTTATGCTCTTGGTAATTATATTAAAGTGTTGCAGGTATTTGCTGGCAGTTATATTTACATTTTGAATTTAACATGTAGCTGAGAAATATTAAACACCTTTTTAGAGGGGGTGAACACTGTAAATGTGCCAGACTAAAAAAACACACGATTCAAGGATGTTTATTCACTTGCATAATACTTGTTACTTTGACAACAAAAAACATTTTTTTCAGTGTGTACTTCCCCATATGTTGAGCATATATAATGTAACATAAGAAAGCTCACAGCTGATGTTTCATAAATGAAGATCCAACTTATTTTTCTTTCATTTGCTTCTGTTGTCTGAATCAATTGTAGAATACGAGTAAAAAAAAAATTATAATCAAGATATTTTTAACAGCCACAAAGCTGGACATCTCAGGTTACTTGTCAGCGCAGTGTTTGTGATTTGCCATTTAGACCCTCATTGCTTTCAAAGAGTCCATCAGCGTGAGTATTTATGAGTGGAAATTCGAGAGAGAAAAAAACTGTGAAATGCTTTAATGTAAAATGTTCTTTTTATGATGTGTTATAACAATGTCTTATTAAAATGTTAAGTTTATCTTCAGAGAAAGACATAATTAGTCCATGAAATGGGAAAATAAATTCTCCCCTGCCTTTTTCAAATCTAAACCACATTATGTAAAGACCGAAAATCCTTGTGTGAAAAGGATTGACTTTTGTTTGAAATGGTTACTCTCTAATAGAACTGACAGACTGTTGAAGTTCCAAATGATACTGTCAAGAGCTGTAGGCTCTTCTCATAGTTGACATTCCATAGCCTAATCAGTAGTTAAACAAATTGCTGCAGCACACCACAGTGTGTCATTCCACACTTACACTGACCCGACACCCTCACTGGAATGTGTTCTTTAGAGTCTAAAGAAGTGCCGTGTGATTAGAGTTGCTGGCAAACACTGTTGTGATTCTGAAGCACTGCAATATGTTGATAACGTTCACACATTTCTGGTCGGTATCTTCTTTAAAAAAAAAAAAAATAGGGCAAATGGGGCAACTTAAATATTAGATTTGGTGCACTTCTGCATTTCTTTACAGTTTGGAATTTAGGCAAACACGCAAATCCAAATAATCCACAGTCTCTAGACCAAATGTCCAGGTTGGCTTATGACTCTCAAACTGAAGTGGAGCTCAGTAACCTTGCTGTTACTGTAGTTGTTGAATACTGGTTGTACTTTTACTACCTGTAGGGAACAGGGAAATAAGGAAATATTCAATCCAACCCCTGCTTTTACATGGGTAAAGCTGGCACCAAGTGTCTGTACTTTTTTTTTTTTAATATATGAACAGTAGGAACAAACTTATCTGACATTAACGGGAGACAATAGCTCCCAGACCCCATGGAGTCCTGCAGGTTAGCCCTCTGTCTCCCTATCTCCCCTCCTCCCCCTAGCCTGGACAGCAGTTGTCAATAAACCCTCCCCCATCAGTCCTTTCAAAATAAAATATGTCAAATTTACAATACAACATAATCTGGATGGATAAATAGTCCATGAACAGATAATAAATTACGAGAATAAATAGAATCTGACAGTCTACATTATTTTAAAAAAGTATTGTTCATAATATTTAATAAGTATTAAATTATGTGCTGGTTAAAAGCATGAATAATATATGTAAAGTTTTATAATTAAAACTATTTACAGTTATATTAGATAAATTCAAATTTTCATTTTATTAAATCTGTTAAAATATCTGTATCTACATGCTCAATCTAACTTGTTAACTGTCACGTGCAATCATGTTATTCCTGTTTTGCCATAGGTTTATTTAAAATTTCTGAGCCAATCACAGTGAAGTTTCTGTGAGGGGGCGGGGTTAGTGGCTCAGGTGGTGTGGGGAACGTTGAGCGCGTGTCAGACGCCATACTTGGAGCAGTGAGACGCGGGGATAAATTCAATGTGATCTTGGACTTTGTACTGACAGACTTTTGTGTGAACGGGGAAGAGGTGAATATGATGTATATGCCTATATTTAGTACTCTGTCATATTTTATCGAAACTGGATGTGTAAGACGGTTAGCGACTTGCTAATTCACGGTAGCATTCTGTGCTATTGGGCCTGTATGTAATAGCTGTGGCATTGTGATATTTCTGAAGCTAAGTCAGGCTAATGCTGATTCAAAATAAGGTAGTGTTTGTTATTGTGTTTCAATTTGGATAAAATGCTTTAAGGAGACAGTCACTAAAGAGACATATAGAGTGAAGTGTTTTCAAGATGTGTCTGTCCTGCTGAGCTGCGCTTTTTCGTTGAGCCTTTTCCGCGCCATTTTGCGCTACAGCTTGGAGTCTAGGTCATGGCGGTCAGTGGAGAGCTTGTGTGTCAGATGTCATGGACAGATCAGTGAGACAGCTGGAAAAGGTAGTGTGGTGTGGGGAGCAAATACATTTTATCGTGTACGTCACTTTTCATGGTATTGGCCTTTTTTTTTAACCTGCAAGCGGCAAATGCCCGTATTTTGTACTCTTGTTATATTTTATAGAAACTGGATGTGTAAGACGCTTCGCTAATTGGCGGTAGAGTTCTGTGCAGTTGGGCCTGTATTTTATTGCTCCAGCATTGTTCTTTTTTCTGAAGAGAAAGCAGGCTAATGCTGATTCAAAATGAGGTAGTGTTTGATATTGTCCCTCAATTTGGATATAATGCTTCAAGGAGATGGTCTAAAGAGAGAGAGTTTTGATGGTCCGTCCTGTGCTGCTAAGCTGTGCTTCTTCATTGCTACTTATTTCCCGCCTTAGCTTGAAGTATAGGTCATGGTGGTTAGTTTGCATTCAAAGTAATTTACATTTGCATAGTGAGACTCATCCCCCATTCTGCCTCTTCTAACCAAACGCATGAATTTGTAAGTACTAACATTCCCAGCACTTGATTTTAATTTGTACTCATCACAAATGAAGCAGTCATATTTTGTAGATCTTACACAGGAGCTTCAATAAACAGGCTCTCAAGGTTAAACACTTAATATAAATTATTTAATTTTGTCTGTATCAGCCCAAAGGGAACATTAGTTGTTAATCAGATAATACCGTTTTAAAAGTAATTTGAAAATTCAGAGGAGATTGAGGGGGAGTTTATTTTATTTAAAGCTCAAAGGGGCATCTCCAGGAGACACAGATGGGTCATCATTCTTCATCCCTGATGGACTGGACCATGGAAACCCTGCGGTGTTAACAAGTGGTTCAGTCTGATCAGGTGGTAAGTACATACTACTTTATCTAAGTACAACATGCTGGTGCAAATTATGTGTATGAGGCTTTTCCCGATCCGATATTTGGATCGGCGGCCAATATTTGCAAAAATAATGCATATCGGCCGGCAGGAGAAAATGATGAAGGCTCGACTACCCACCCCTGCAGCAACAGCAGCCCAGTTCCTCTGTGCTCCTTGCACAAGCTTTGAGAGTGAGAGAGGCTTTTTAGTTCAGTTTCCCTCATCATTGATGAACACAGGAGCAGGTTGACACCTGAGCATGTTGATATGTTTTTTTTTTGTGTAAATAACAATCTCCCCATCATGCTGGGGCTGCAGTCAGGGTGATCAGTTGAAGGCAGTGTGTAGATATGGAGCGGAGAGGTGTGGAGGAGATTGGGGAGTAGAAGGCCTTTTTGCTTTTAGTGTTCAATATTCACAGATTTTTTTTTTTTTTCAAGCCTTAGTTATGCTGAGTTAATATTTTCTATTTAGGTTGTTGGTGTGTTTTGCTTTTTTAATACAGTTTCTAATATTATTTTAACTTTTTACTGTTCACTGATGCCTTTTCCGTTTATTTTTAATTTAGTCTATTTTATGTTTATCCCTGTATAAACACGTCAGTGTCTATACCAGGGGTCACCAACCTTTTTTAAACGGAGGGCTACTTCATGGGTACTGAGTCACACGGAGGGCTACCACTTTGATACACACTTCTGAAATGATACATTTGCTCAATATGCTTTTAACTATACTTTATTAATAATCATTAATGATACTCATTTGTGACAACAGTGACAACAAAATGGGAAACATATCAATATCCCCCACTTTATCTCTATTTATCTCAGCAACTGTTAAGTTTTCAGATGATCACTTACTCTACATCACTACATTTAAATAGGGGTTTTCAATTTCACTCATTTTCACTAGCCACTGACAAAACCTTTTAACAAATCATGAACTATGTTGCACCATGTTTCAAAAAGTTATCAATTATCTAATGTTAAAGAAAAATCAACTCGCATATTAAAAAGAAATCTGAAATCTCATGACCAAATCTTTAACAGATTGGCATTGCATGCTGTTCACCAGTGCATTGTAATCTGGTGTGTGACTTGACACAGCAACTATGAGGGCATATTTCAGATGTGCTTTTTCAGCCCGTAGTGTGCTTCCCGGTGGCTAGTTAGCATGCTAGCTTTTGTGGCACAAAGTGAAGTGTCTCTCCACATTGTGCCGCTTTGCCGTCGCCACAGTTGCCCCGCAAATCAGATACACGCAGGTTTCTTTTACAGTCGTAAAAAAGAACTCCTCCTCCCATTCGTTGTGAAAGTGATACGTTTTCTTTCGTTTTTCTGCCATGTTTTTGGGGTTAGAAACTGCACCCATCTCCGCTGCGCCCGCTAGCTTACTCTCCACTGACACTGTTTTTGTTTTGTCACGTGCACAATACTGACCTTTGAACTAGAGAAAACTTAAACTTAATATATAATTAACATATTTTAAAGATATTGTCATTTTAGATTAAATCTAAATTAATGCAAGTGTGATTAAAATAGAATAGCAACGGAACAAAATTAAATTTGAGACGCTTTTCACTATTGAGTTGTGCTATTTTTAGAACAGGCCCGCGGGCGACTCATTTGGTCCGTGCGGGCGACCCGGTGCCCGCGGGCACTGTGTTGGTGACCCCTGGTCTATACCAACCAGTGTGTATTATTTAAAGTTACCTAATTTAGCTGGCTTGTTGTTGAAGTAAATCCCTTTTCAACACGAGTCAGACAACTAAGTAAGTAGGTTAAATAACTTTAAACTTTTATACATGTTCTGACAGGCCGAGATTGGTATTGGTCGGTATCGGATCGAAAGTGGGAAAAGCTGAATTGGGACATCCCTAATGTGTATGCTAATGGTGCTGATTGATGATTCTGATCCTAAAGATGATGCTAACAATGTTATTAATGATGTTACTGATGCTACTTTCAGACACATGGACAGAGAGCTGACCGGAGACATCTGGCGTGGGGTGCAGTTCATTTTTATATTACACGTTGATTACTCCTCCTGAAAAATGTCTGACCTGCAAGAGGTGAATATGATGTATTTTGTATTGTAACTTTTGTAGTTTAACCAAACTGGATGTGTGAGACTGTTAGCCGGATGGATTGATGGGTCCCTCTGGTTTTGGTCTGTCTGTGTGCAGGTGTGTCCTGTCCTGCTGAGATCACTTCTTTGCTCCATGTTGGCTTGGATTCACGCTCATTTCCATTAGTATCGCGGGACTCTAATCCCCCATTCTGCTACTAACCAAAACCATGGGTTTGTGAGTACTAAAACACACTCCACCGGCCATTACAGTTTTTAGGTCTCACTGCACACAAGCTTCAGAGACAGGCCAGAGAGCTTCAGTATTATTATTGTCAGTGTGTGTGAGGCCAGAGGTAACATATACTGCTTTGAAAATAATTATTAAATTCTTAATATTGAATCTTATTTAATCTGATTGATATGAAGCAATATATTTTCTTTTCAAAATGTATTTTCACTTGTAAAGTTTATAAATTTAT